CTCCAGTGAATAGTTACTCTCGTAAACGGTCTCAGATCCCTTTGGGGAAGGCTAGGAGAAAGATTGACATTATAAATTTTTGGCAATGTTGTCAGGTCCCTCTTCAAAGTGACCCGGCCTCCCCTTCATTCAAGGGATTGTGCATCTGTAAACTGACTCAAGTCTGGGAATTGATTGATAGGCTGTGACTCTATATTCTGGCAATTCAATACAGGCTGCTATGTTGAATCTATATTGACCTAGAATTCTTCTGTCTATACAGATCAAGTAAATATTTAGTAGGTTTTCTCTGTATTTTACTACTAGGAACATCATGACTACGTGGTTACTGCCATAATTCCACACAAATCTGAGTATTCTGATTACTGTTTCGACTCCATTATGGTAACCACACCTACCTTGCATTTGTCAATTAACTGCTGCCTCTTGGCCCCTACTACCATGGGGTCCAATTAGTCCCATAATAGTTAAGCATTTTAGTTCTATTAGGGCAGTTCCCACTGTCAAATCTGGCTTAATCACAGCAGTCTTCAAGGATGCTGGGACTCCCTTCACAAATTTATTCCTCACCATACTGGTGAAAGGTGTGTCTTCTGGACTCTCCATTTCTGGCTCTAGGGGTCTAATCTGATAAATCCATTCTAACAGGCCAAATTCCCTAAGCCTTTGGATACCTTCTTCTACATTATACCAAGGCAGGTCTGGTACTTCAAATTGATCCATGTTTCAGTAAGCCAACCAAGTAAACTATTAGATCCTTTCCTAAGCTCTCGAGCTGAAACATTGATGAAGAATCACTACTTAGTGGGCCTAAATCAATAAACTCAGACTGATCCAGTCTTACATTTCTTGCACCATTATCCCACACCCTCAGTAGCCATTCCCATACATATTCTCCAGGTTTCTGTCTATACATGTTAGCAAAATCAAGGAGGTCTTTTCAGGTGTAGCGTACCACCTCCTCAGTCACACTTTCTGTTTCACCTTTGGGGGCTCGCTTGGACTTAATTTTAGTTATAGGTCATCAGCAATAATAAATAGGTGGTTGAGGCAGTTCCTGAGAACAGTCAGCAATGTCTTTCATGGCCTCTGCCTCAGGCAATGACCTAGCAGGGACAGTTGGGTTAATCCCATCAAACTGAGGTGGAGGGGATGATGGTTTTACAATAATCCCTTCAAATGGGAGGGATTCAACAGAATTTACAGGCTCCACATCCTGATCTTTTTTACTATTTGCCCATATGTCCCCATTCCAGGTTTCAGGATCCCTTTTTTTCCCCAATCAATGCCCTCACTTCAGACACCATTCTGGGTTGGCAATTTAATTGGTGTTGTAATTCAGCCACACTTACAATAAGACTCTGGGTTTGATTTTCAGCAATATCAGCTCTGTTACTAGAAGAAATAGGCTTTCAGAGCACAACTGGAAACATTGAGGTCTCTGGCAGCATAGTGCCTAAGGCACTTGACTGCTAACCAAAAGGCTGGCAGTTCAAACTCACCAGCTGCTCCTCAGAAGAAGAAGGGGCAATCTACTTCTGTAGTGATAGTGCCTCGGAAGCCCAAGGAGGGGTCGCTATGAGTAGGGTCCAACTCGACGGCACATAACAACAACAACAATATGTTGCGCTTAAGCTGTCACTCAGCCATCCTGAGCTCATCTCGCTCTTTCACCACTTTGCCTGGTGTAAGTAGGACCAACCAACCAGCTTCTTTATACTCCTCATGCTGACAAAATTGCAGAAAAGTATCAAATATGTGATCACCCAGAGCCTCACTTCTCAAAAGTAATTGATCTACTGGTGGTGCTATTTTGCATATTAATGTTGCCACCTCACGCCATGGATCAGCAGGGCCTTCTTTACTAACACAGCCAGGGTCACCGGTGCCTTTACAATGAATCAAATTAGAGAACCAATTTAGGAAGCTCTCCTTATGATTTTGTCTCTCTAGAACCACTCCTGGTACCTAATGTGTTAGACTGGGTTCTCCAGAGAAACATAACCAGTAAAGCTTATATATAGAGAGAAAGAGAAATTTATCTTTGGAAAATGGCTCACACATTTATAGAAGCTGGAAAGTCCAAATTCTTGGATCAAACATCAAGCTGGAGGCTTTTCCTGACTCTCGCAGCTGCAGGGGCTGAGGAGTTCAAGGTTGGCAGGCAGTATACTGCTGTTGACTCCAACGAATGATGAATCCAACATCTCCAGGCCAAATGGTGGATTGTTTGCTCACGAACAGTTGTAGGCAGCTCAACAGAATCCCAATCCATAGAAGAGTGTCTCTTTTCCCAGGATGCCCATAAATATGTTGGAAGCAGGCCACACCCCTAGGGAAACTCCCTTTCAATGGATTGGCTGCTCAAAACATATACATCTGATCCCATCATGGGAACAACCCACATCACAATTTCTTAAATCACACAGAATTGTGGTCCAGTCAAGTTGACACACAGCTCCAACTATCACTCATGGCATCCCCTAAACCTCAGAGATGTGTTGCCTTTGTGTGCCCTCTCAATGATGCACACTTTTACTTTATTCTCAGGAAATTATTTTCAACATTTCTGTTTTTCTATAAAAAGATATTACACAATTATATATACTTATGTATTAATTGAATATGAGTTCTGATTTTATTTGAAGACAACATAGCCTTGGGAGTGTATTCAATATACCTGACAGGTTGCTTCCTTCAACCTTAGAACAATCCCTATCAACTGCCAGTAGTTCCTTGCCTCAGCTAAGGTAACGTAACTGAAATAGATCTCAATCTACAAAATCAAATGCATGGGAGATATCATTTATCTTACTTTTTTATATGTTTTTGATATGAAGTAGATTTTTCCATTCCCTTAGGCTGGTGGGAAGATTGGTCTTTCTACCCTTCCCAAATTTGCACCAGAATCTATGAGATTTGCCTTGTGTCTAGGAAATAAAAGAAGGTTCTCTGATCTCATGACTGTCGGGATGACAGCTAGTAGACCACTGAAAGTTCTAGGTTTCTACAGCCTTTGAGTTTCATACCATATGAGGAATGTGGGGCTTTTTTGCATCACAGTGCCAATTTTTCCAGGCACTCGTGAATCCATTTTCTTGAGTACTTGCAGTACTTGCCCCTTGTGAAGGGAACACACCCAGTTCTAAACTTTCTGTCCACTGGCTTCTTACTCTCCTCAGATAAAAAATTCCTTAACGAATTGACCTCATACTTCTCCAGATAAAACTTTTTTTTCACTTATTTTTGAGTTTTTTACATTATTCTTATGCTTGAAGTTGTATTCTCTCTCATTCATAACAAGAATTCCTAAGTCATGTCCTCCACAGGATTTGTCAGGATAAATTTATGTCTGCACAGTCTGGTTGTACCTAATCTAACTCTGTAACATTTCCCTCAATGTGTGGGAACATTGGTGACACACAACCTGGGTGACTAAATGAAGTTTTCAGCCAGGTCTTAGCTTCATTAACATTTGTCTGAATTTTACTTACTGCAGTATTTTCCAAGTTCAGTGTCAAAGATCTCTCCAACTCCTGGAAATGTTGCAAATGGTTTTTCTGCTGATGGGAAGTTAGTTTTACAAGTCTCACACTTTGTATTTCTCTTTTACTGAATGAACATACTGTAACAGGAAAATCTAGTCAATTACTAAAACAGAAGTATCTTTACAGTCATTTATCAAGTGTTTTTACTAGTGTGGCTGTTTACATTTAAATTCTGTTTTTATCACCTGGAATATTTTTCTTTTGTAATTTCTTTTGGGGAGGGGGGGGTTAGACAAGATGATCTTTAGATATTTTCTAACAACAACAACAAAAATCTTCTAATTCTTTAATCGTAGATAGTCTGTAGAGATTTTCTTTTAACATTCTTATTTTATAAAGAATTAGAAAATTAAGTGACTTAACCAAGGTCCTAACACTTACAGAGTATATATGAATTTTGAAACCTCTCAGACTCCAGAGTTGGTCATCTTTCCATTTTACCAGTAGTATAAGTAGAAAGCATAAAAAATTCTTTAATTTTAGAAATTGCTTCAATTTTTTAAAACCATCTTTATAATGTCAACCACCAATTAAAAAATAAACTCCAATATATGTGAATATGTGCACCTCTGCCTGTCACTGTACATAGTCTCTTAAGCGTTACTCTGTGCTCGAGCAAGAGCCAGCTCCTGTTTCATTTCTGTTAAAGAAATCAAGATTCTAATTATTTGTTCCTTCTTTTCACTTTAGAACAAGACCAAAAGTTCAGTACAATGGCTATGCTGGACATGAAAACAGCAATGGACAAGCTTCATTTGAAAACCCCATGTATGATACAAACTTAAAACCCACAGAAGCAAAGGCTGTGCGGTTTGACACAACTCTGAACACAGTTTGTACAGTGGTATAGCCCTCAGTGCCCCAATAGGACTGATTCATAGCCATACCTCTGACGGACAAGCAGTAATTCCTTTGGTGCCATATACCACTCTCCCTTCTACTCTTGGCTTTGCTGCAGCAACCTTTAACATCTTCTACTGGCATACATGCAGCGAAAATTTCTAGTAAAATGTGTCAGAGTCTTCTGAGGATCAATCTTCAAATGCATCTTTGTTCTGAAAGTGGAATCAAAATGCCTGGCTGCATCTGCTTGAAATCAAATACACTTAAGGAAGACTGCCAAGTTATGCCAATATGTCATACATAATGCCTCAGACTTTCATATTTTTGTGTGGCTGGGATGCCTTTCAATGCAATCTTCTGGGCACTTGGATACATCCTGTGGGTGCAGTGACAAAATGATAGCACCACAATACGTTCATGTTTGTGTTTTTTTAGCTCCCATGGACACCAGTACTCTGAAAAGAAAGCATTCTTGAAGAAGATACCCATTCTGATAGATGCACACACCTACAAATGCTTCACTATGTCATCCCTGAGACCTGACAACCTTTGAGAAGCTCTCTCAGCTCACCTCAGTGTCCATTATTAGGGCCATTTGCAAGTTTCCCAGTCAGCTCTTCTATTGCAGAATTTTTGATGCACAATTTTTTGCACTAGTGTGTTATGAATGACTGAGTAAGATTCTAATTAAAATAATAATAATAAAAAAACTATTTACACAGGGTTTATACACACTATCCATTGTATATACACACCCTCTCATACTGTCAAGTTAAACATTCCACCATCAGTTTAGTTGGTGTGTAGGAAAAAAAAAAAATCCCCAGATATGGCACAGTTTTTTTTTTCTTTCAAATGTATGCTATTGAAAAGATATATTAATGCTTCTATCAGCTCCATTAATGTGTTGAGTTCATCAAAGATGTCCAATGAGGAAGAAAAAAGAAGAGGCCTTTTTATTTCCCATGTGTTTTCTTCCTTTAGTAACATTGTCGCTCAATTATTGTCAGCATTGTACTACTTAACAGCAGGGTGTTTGCAGCAATTGCTATTTGCTATGTAAAAATGTGAATAGTAATTTATTTTAGAGAGCAAAGGAACTTGTAAGTTTTAGCTCACAATGCAGTTTTCCCTTTTGCATTGTTACCATTTTCCCGTTGGGGTGCCATCATTCTGTGATATTGCATTGAAAGACAATTTACTACAGTAGCACCTTGAACTCAATGGAAATTGTTCCGTATCAAATTACCAAGTTTTCCTCTGGAGGCAAAGAAAGATTACATACACTCTACTATTCTAATGCCATATTTTATATACTAATTTGTCTTATGTTTCATGCTTTATACATCTAGACAGAAATAAAATTTTAGTGATTTTTGAAGAATGAAATTCATTATAGTTTGGTATATTATGACATACAGTATAAATAAAATATGTATGATCCCCAATGTGAAGAAAATTAAATAGAAGATGAGGCAATGAGAATGTTTATGTAACAAAGTCAAAGAATACTTAGGTTTATTTTTATTTACACTTGTTTGATAAAATAGTTGCAGAAGATAATGTTTATTTTATTATTTGATTTTATAGTATGCATTCCACAGATTGAAAATCTGCCCTGTCTCACTTTCTAGAGTGATAGCAATAGAAACATCAGAACCTTAAAATTGGCCTTTGCTTTGTTACAGTTCTTACAGTTCTCATATTCACAGCTAGCTTTAAAACCAGTATGTTTGTCTATTTCTTGTTTAAATACAGAACTTCAAAAATGAAAAAAAAAATCATTCTTTTAAAAGTCATACATTTTGAGTAGAACATTTTACTAAATTTTTTCACTTGGCTCCCCACTGTTGTGTTACTCATTGTAAGGTGAATATGCTGTTAGGAGGGCATAAGGGACCTCTTCTAGCACTTTCTTTTCCTTTTGCAAATCAATTCCAAATTATCATGCTGAATTCTCTGCATATTTGTTCCTATCCAACCTGACAACATTTCTGGAGATTTACTTTGCAAATTGGAGTGCATACTTTGCAAACTGGAGTGCTTGCATAGCTTTTTTTTTTTTTTTTTTTTTGTTTCCTTTATTTTCAATGGACTAGATGAGGTCAGCAGAAGCAGAGCTCCTAACACATCTTGAACGAAAGCAAACAGAAAATTGTAGAAAGTTTGAGGATCATTGTGTGCAAGGGAGAACAGGGTTACTCTATATATATATTAGGTGTATATATATACATATATATATATTGTACATATCAAAGTTTGAATCATTCAAACTAGGTGCAAAATGCTGACTTCAGAGTCTGAATTAATGTCTCTGTTCCCACATCCCTGGCCTGCTTGCTGGTCAATGACGTTATGAAATCCTGAAATGACAGGAGATACATACATACAAGAAACCACATATCAGATTAGATAATATTTTCCTTTGTGTGCAAAGTCATACTATCCTTTGGTTGCCAGTTCTGAGCATGTTATTTAAAAAAAAAAAAGAAAATATCAATGAAATTCTCTTGTGAGAATTCTGCCTAGTTTATTCCTAGGGTGTGTGCAGTATTTAATCAAATCTCCAGTGAAATGTTGGAAGGATCTTGTGAAGGCAGTCAGGAAATGTGCTTACTGAGTCAGGTCTTAGAAGACTCTTCCTGGAAGGCAACCAGAACACATGCGAGGGGAAACAACCACATGCTAAAAACAGGTTATGTGCTTCAAAGCTGTTTAAAACTGCTGCTTGTTTCACACATCTTGCCTTTCTTCAGTTCAGGCTAGCTGCAATAATTTTTTTCTTCTGTAAAATATTTTGTAAACAACAACAAAAAAGCTATTATAAAAAGGGGAAAAAAGAACGCTGGCATTATGATCAGGTCAACTCATCATCATTCCCACTTTCCCATCTTGCCATTTCACCACATGCTGCTGACATGAAGTAGGTGCAAAAGACCTTTTTGTACAGAGATATATTTTTTATGAAGAATTTGTAAAATTATTAAATATGCTGTAATTTTTTGATTAATGTAGGTAAATTGTTAAAAATAAATGTTTTTACAATACAAAACTGTAATTTTCCCAATAATGTAAAATGTACCATCTCTAGCTGATTTTCAGTTCCAATCCTATTACACATGTATTAATATTAAAGTGGCCTGTTAAAATGAACAGTATCTTTTTTGTCAAAAAAAAAAAAATTATAAAGTGTAATATAGCCTGTGCAATGCCACCTATCTTTAAAGCAAATCAGAGTTCTAATTAAATATTTAATTTTAGATTTCTATTTCTTGTGTGAATTTATTTTTAGCTTTAATACATGCATTGAACCTGTTGTGAGGGATGCAAAAAATTGAAGTGTTAGTAACAAGCCTTTGTTGTACTTAGAATGAGGGTCAATATTTTCCCAAGACATTATTATCATGATTAATAAATAGCACAGTTATGATGAACCATGACAAAAAGTACAATAATGTTGAAGCTGACAGCTTTCTTAATGGTTTGGATTCAAAACAATTATGGTTTCTATTTTCCTCCAAACTGCAATCAAAGCCATATTCAAGAAGTTTTCATTTTATTTTATTTTTTTAAACACGGGAGCTATTTCTATAAGCTTTCACAATAGTAAACCTGGCATATGTGAAAATTATAGGCATATTTGATAAATCATTAAAAATATTACAAAGAAGGCTAAAAAAGAAAAATAATCATTCTTTCATACATGGTTTAGAATTCTGAGCCAGCTCTCCTCCATTCATTTCTGGGCTGAGAGGAAACAGAATGTTTTATAAGTCAGGGGTCAATCAAGCTGAAAGTCTTGCAGTTAAACAGAATGATACACTAATTTTCCTGAGAGTCAAACTATTACAAAATAAAAAACAACCAGTAATAAAAATAGTCTTGGTATGGCTTCAAAGTAAACAAGTTTTCAAATATCCAACTTACTGTTTGGGTTTCTTTGGGTCAGCAGCTGTGTTTAGTTGTCATTTATTGAAGACTTACTATATACAAAGGAGCTCTGGCAGTGTGGTGGTTAAGGCACTTGGCTGTTAACCAAAAGGTCAGTGATTCAAACCCACCAGTCACTCAGCAGAAGAAAGATGAGGCAGTCTTCTTCCATAAAGATTTACAGCCTTGGAAACCCTATGGTGGTCATTTTGGGTCAGAATTGACTAGAGAGCTGTGAGCTTCATTTAATTTTAAATACTGCATACAAGGCACTATGCTCGGTAACTTGCATCCATCACAAATAATTCTCATGATCTAGCAAAGTGGGTTTGTATTTTATGCATATAAAGAAACTGAAGTTCAGAGAAGTTACTTATTTTACCCAAGGAAACACAGCAAAGCACAATTCAGATCAGACTTCAGTTTTCTCCTGTTTTAACAAACTTTCTTCTTTTTCCCTAAAATATCACATTATCAAATTCATATTTTTGCAACTGAACATTTTCTCCCATTGTAACTATAAATATGTGTGTGTGTATGTGTGTGTGGTAGTTACCACAAGATAAGACCTCTAGGAGAAGTAAATACTTCATATTACTAATTGCTTTATGCCCCACAATAACTCATACATAATATGTCCTCAAGAAGTATTTATCAAATTAAGTTGAAATTTAAATGGTTTATAATTGTCATCTGGGTCTTTGTCTAGCACACTGAAATCAGGTAAGAGTTTTACTTTACCTTTCTACTTATGCATATTCAATAATGACCATAAATTAATACTTAGTCTCACAGATCTGTCTCATATGACTGAAGTATTTAGCGTGGGCAGGATATCCAGCACAGAGAAGGTCTTCACATATTTGTTGAATTTGAATCAAATATATCAGGGTCTCTCACACTCCATGCTCAGTAACTTTGCTTGAAGAACTGAGGATTGTATGCATACTCACTGAACAGAATAAGATGGTCCAGAGAGCCTGGGATAGCCACAATATCACAATTCTGTTTCCAGTAATGGTTCTTTACAACAATAAATAAAATCTGACTTCCACTTTGCCTTTTTTTTCTAAGTAC